CCGGTGGGGCCGAGCTGAGCCTAGTCTGGCCCCGCCGTGCGAGCCGACAGGGAGGCGGCCGGCGCGGCGAGCAGCGGGGACATTGGCACGGGCGGCCACGGGCCCAGGTGAGCGGCGTTCGCGCTGACAGCCCCTCCCCCGCAGCGTCTCCCCACCTGCCCGAGCACCCTGCCCGGGCGCGCGGTGGGCATGGCCTGAACCCCAGGGATGTCCCCAGCCGTGGGGGAGGTGAGGGGTCGAGGGCAAAGTAAGCCCCTCCTCCCCTGCCGACCCAGTGCAGCAGCCTCCGCGCCATGCACGGATCCTACCACCAGGCCTTGTCCTTCCAGGCCCCCTCCTTGGGAACAGTGACTGGACTGCGGGAGGGAGAGGCGCGGCCGGACTGCCAAGGGTTAAAGCTTCAGCTCCCGCCCCCAGCCCCGCGCCCCTCCAGCTCGGCTGGAGCTGAGAGACACTGCCCACCGCCTCCTCCAGCCTGACTTCCTCACTGGGTCAGTTTGGCCTGGGCTGTTACCCGGCCTGAGGGAGCGCCCACCAAGTGCTAGGCGCCTCTCTGTTCCTGAATGCCCTGCACTGATGGAACAGTTGCGATCACTATTTAACAGGAGGGAAACCGAGGCACAGAGAAGCCAAGTTAAAGATACAGCAAGAATAAAGCGGGGTTGAACTCATTTTTGTCTGACTCTGGAACAGGCTTGGGAAGGCGTACTGGGGGCTTGCTATGTGCCAGACACCACATCACTTGTATTAGTAGCTCACTTCATCATCAGACACCCCTAGGAAATGGGTACCATTATGATCCCCATTTTACAGATAAACAAACTGAGGCCCAGAGAGAGGAAGTGACTTGGCCAAGGTCATGAAGCAGCTAGGTAGCAGGTGCCTACATACAGGTTTCCGTGGAATAGGAGAAGGATAAGGATGGATGTTGATGTGTCCTCCAAAAGGGAGAGTCTCCATTGCATTGACCAAGGCCCAGACGCTGCCCTCCTCAAATCCAGTGAGTTGGCAAGTGTCACGGTCTTTTGTGAAGGGGAACATTTATCATCTCCCTGTTCCTTCCTTTCTAAGTCTTGGAATCAAGTTCTGGGAGACTGGGAGAGTGCAGATGTATCTGATGTCGTCCACCCTGTTGAGTTTCATATTTACAATCTAGTAGTGTTTTAGGAGCTCTGGTTGTGTAGTGCCTAAAGCACTTGACTGCTAACCAGAAGGCTGGTGGTTCAAACCTACCAGCCACTCCTCAGAAGGAAGGTTGGGCAATCTACTTCCGTAATGATACTGCCTCGGAAACCCAAGGAGGGGTTGCTATGAGTCAGGTCCGACTCAACAGCATGTAACAACAACAACAACAATGCTCTAGAAAGGAGCTCTGGTGGCATAGTGGATAAGGCACTAACTGGAAGGTCAGCGGTTCAAACCGATCAGCTGCTCCGTGGAAGGACAACTGGGCAATAAACTTCCATAAAGATTTACAGCCTCGGAAACCCAATGGGGGTCACTATGAGTTGGAAATGACTTGATGGCAGTGAGTTTGGTTTTTGGTTTTAGTGCTCTAGAGGAGTCAGTCCCTTGGTGACTCACATGGTTAGGCCTTGAATGCAACTGAAAGGCTGGTGGTTGGAACCCACCCAGAGACGCCTAGGAAGACAGGCCTGAGATCTGCTTCGGCAAGGACACAGCCATGAAGACTTCACGGACTGCAGTCCTACTGTACACACGTGGGGTCGCCATGAATTCGAATCGACTTGGCGGCAGTGGGTTCAGGGTCCGAGAAGAAGACTCTGGAGTCAGACTGATATGACAGTTAGCTGTTGCTACAATGCTGTGTAACCAACCACCGCACACTTAGCGTCTTAATGTCTTAAAACACTAAACATTTATTTGGCACTTAAGCCTGAGGTGTAGGCTGGGCTCAGCCCAGCAGTTCTCCTGGTCTTTCCTGAGCTCACATCTGGGGAGGAGGATGGTGGCTGTTGACTGCTCTATCTGGCCTTGGCTGGAATGACTGGGGCCTTGGGGCCTTGGACCTGGACTAGCCCAGGCATGTTTTTCTCATGGCCACAGCTGAGCTCAAGCAGAAACATGCAAGGTCCCTTAAGTCCCAGGCTCAGACCTGGCATGCTGTCACTTCTACCTAATGCCATTGGCCAAAGCATGTCATATGACCAAACACAGGGCAAAGATGGGACATGTCCCCCCCCCCTCCCCTTTTACTCCCTCCACCCTGGACAGTCAAAGGACACAGAAGAGTTACATCCAGAGAGTGTGGCTACGAAACAAAAACCCATTGCCATGGAGTCGATTCTGACACAGTGACCCTATAGGATAGAGTAGAACTGGTGCATAGAGTTTCCAAGGCTGTGATCTTTACAGAAGCAAAACCCAAACCAAACCCACTGCCGTGAAGTCCATTCCGGCTCACAGCGCCCCTGGAGGACAGAGTGGAACTGCCCCACAGGGTTTCCAAGGCTGTAAACTTTAAGGAATGGGAGCTCTGCTGGCCTAGTGCCTAAGGCATTTGACTGCTAACCAGAAGACTGGTGGTTCAAACCCACCAGCCACTCCTTGGAAGGAAGATTGGGCCATCTACTTCCGTAGGGATACCCCCTTAGAAACCCAGGGAGGGGTCACCATGAGTCGAATCAACTCAATGGCAGTGAGTTTGTTTTAATCTTTAAGGAACCTGACTGCCTCATGTTTCTCCCACAGAGCCCCTGGGTCAGCGGCCCAGTGCTTACCCACCTTGCCACCAGGGCTCCTTAAGGGTGTGGCTACAAGGATGAGGTATGGAGGCTGTTAGTGCCTGTTCTATCCGTACCTGGCATTTGAGTCCTTAGTTTCACGACTTCCTAGCTGCGTAACCTTGGGCAAATGAAATTATTCCTCTGTGTCTCAGCTTCCTCCCCTGTAAAGTGAATCCAGTAAGAATTTATGCTTTGAGAATTAAATTTGTGGGAATTGAGATAATCCGCATAATGTACTTAGCACAGTTCAAGTGCTCAATAAATGATAATTATTGGTATTAACCACATTGTCGAGTTCTATCTACATTATTGTTAATTAATTGACAATAAATGTAGTACCATTATTAATTTATTATTGTTATGAATAAATAACATTATTATTCTAATAACAGTGACATTTTACTGTGACTGTACTCTATGCCAGGAGTGGAGCAGAGTGCTTTACCACAACCCTGTGAACAGGTCAGGGTGAACATTATTATCGTTATTATCGTGTCCACTTCACAGACAGGAAAACTGAGGTCCAGAGAGTCAGTGTGAAAAGGAGGGTGTCTGAGGCCAGGCCTCTTTTCTAGCCCTAACTTGCTTCTCTCCACTCTAGGCCTCACCTTCCCCAATGGCACAGGTTCCAGGGGAAGTGGACAACCTGGAGGGCCTGCCTGCCCCTAACAACAACAACCCGACAGCCCGCTGGGAGAGTCCGGATCGGGGCTGGGAACGGGAGCAGCCGGCTGCCTCCACGGCAGCTGC